CAAACATCAATTTCTTCAGAAAAAGGTAGAAATATGCACCAAATTTTTTAAAATCCTTGCATGGTATATAGATCACCCAGATGGACTTGTTTTTTCCCTCAACAAAAGTGGAGTTACACTTTAAGTTGATACATTAGTGTTGGGAATAAAGTTGGCCACACCCAATACAGTCTAATTGTACAATCTTCCTTAGAATGTCTAGAAACTATGTACTACAAGGGCCTACCTAACAATTAATTATATTTATATATTTTTCCCAGGTTTGTGACAGGTTTACCTTACAGCAGATCTCCAGCCTCCAGTCCTATCCCTCCCCCCGATAGTCTGGTGACATCATAGGCCCCTCCTCTACTTGCCCCCCTGGGGTGGGAGGCCCTTACTGCAGTTTCTGAATGGCACTCTCATAATAATGGGTTTAGCGGCTGTTTACAGCCTGCTGTTTCAATACCATCTTAAAATTACACTTTAATCTCCAACCATTTAGGTCATTTAAGTTTAGTACCCATCACTTTTGCCTTTACTGTCAAGCACTGATGAAGGGGACCTGAAAAGAGTTTGGCCTGTCCTCTTGGATTGGTACAATTATACAAACTTACTTGGACTCCTTTCATTTGTAGTAAAACTGAGCAAATTTACTTTCACTGACTAAGCCCCACAAGTCAGAGAATGACCTCAAACATTACTAGTGTTCTTTCTAAGACTGGTCTTTTTACATATCAAAGATCCCCTTATTATGTACTTTGCTGGTACATAAAGTGGTTCCTAGCACAGGTATCAAAAGAGATGCACATATTTTAAGGTAATTGATCAGCTTTTCTCTCTTGCATGCCTGTAATGAAGCAGATAAAGTCACGGCAGATTACATTACATGACTTTAACTAACAATGTTTTTATAACTTATTTTTAATCAAAAGCCATCCAAGCCTGTCTGCTAGATACTTAACATCTTCTCAGAAAACAGATAACTATGTATTTTCAAAGGTTTTTTTTTTTGCTCCTTATTACATGAAAGAAAGCAGCTTGAAGTCAGATGTGTTTGGGAATCTACATAAAGGAAGAAAGATAATGTGATTATGAAATTATTTGTAGTTCCTTCATCTCCCTGGACACTTCAAACTGAGTATGTGAGAAAAAAGGAAAGAGAGGGAACCTTGAAATGAAGCCTCTTATCTCCATTAAAAATGTGGAGGAGAGGTGAGAACACAGTACAAATGACTTACAAAAGTAGACGTTCAAGAATGTATTTGAATGGGCAAGCCCAACCAAAGTTATTTTTTTCTAGTTCTGAGAAGATGGAAACAGGTTTACACGGCATTCGGCCAAAAAATCTTCTGGATTCCCAGGCAGAGATCCAGTCTGCATGAATACTTTCCTGACATGTCACAATGCACAGCCTAGACTTGAGAGGAGCACCCTGGGAATCTTATGTCTTCGATCTGCTGCGGGCACTCTCCTACCCCAGTTAGCATTTTGAGTGTACATTGTAACCTTCTACAAGTTGCAGGGCAAGAGCCTGCAGCAAAATAAATGAGCTGTGTGGGACAACCTCTATACATTCCACAAAGAATATAGGTTAAGCCGTTTCATCTCTGGGCCAGCATAGTAGTCCACTAAATTCTAAATTGCGGGTGCAATGCTAGTTTGCTATTGCAAATTGAAATAGCCAATAGAAATCTAGCAATGCATTCCTATGGCCAAATTTTTTTCAAATTTTTTTTCTATTCTGACACGGCTCCGTGTCAGAATAAAGAAAAAAAAGAAAAAGCAGTGTTTCTCTCCTTGGCGGCCGGGAGCGGGAGACTCCCGGAGCGCCAGGGAGAGTTAGGCTGTTTGGAGATCAGCTTCCCTGGTTAGCTGTTAACCAGGGACGCTGATCTCCCTGCAAGTGGCCGGAGCCAGCCGTAAGATCAGGTCTGGCTCCGCCTACCTGTCAGAAGCAGGCTGTCGGCCGGCCATTGGCCGCTCGGCCAGCTTCGGCTTTCAGCGCGGCTCAGCCGAGCCGAGGCATATGCGTTCGGCTCTATTGAGTCGCATGACCATGTTCAGGAGCTGTGCGGGCTATAGTGAATAGCCCGTACAGCAGCCCTACGTTCAGTAGGGGTCCTGGGGTTGAAGCTAGCTGAAGGATCGGCCGAAGCTACGGCTAGATCCTTCGGCTGCCTCGTGAATAGACCCCTATATCTATAATCCAAATGGTTTTATTTAGGTAAAACCCATCAAACATAGGGGTGCGCAGCCTATTGCATTAGGGTGTGCACACAAAAGTACAGACACGCATATGTTGTGTCAAGGTTTCCTATTTGGATGGGAAGCCGCAGCCACATTCCCTTCCCAGGCATCGGGGGCTGCTGTTATGTGAGGAATGTAAGTGGCAAGTGCTGCTGTGCTCGGTATCGCTGAGCCAATCAAACAAAGATCTTTGTGATCTTTTCACTGGCTCAGTGATTAAAAACATGGAGCATGCTGTTGCAGCTTTGGTGTCCTGCTCAGGGTGATTAGGGTGTGCCCAGGCACACCTGGCACACCCCGTGCACACACCTTTGCCATCAAATTTCACTTTACTTCCTGTCCTGTAAACAAAACAACCTCTTCACGGAACGGAGACAACTGCCCTATTATACAGTTGTCACCAGAACAAGTGTGGCAATTGAAAGATATTCTCTCTATTGCTGTTCTTTTGACAACTCATATTTTAAATAGAGTGAACTGCTCTAATGGGACAAAAGCAGCAGTAAAAACTGGACAGGTGTTCCAACCTGTCACTATTCTACCAAAAGCAGAAAAAAATGTTTTGGCTTTAGATACACTTTAAGGTGCATTTTAGGTTGTTTAATATTTGTCTCAACATTTTAAATCAAATGTAGATGATTTCCAAACTTATTGTATCCATTTCATGATTGCAGTCACAAGGCTGTAGATTTGCACTGGGTGAATTGTGCCTTTGGTGTATTTTTAACTTGATCACATTGTTATTGCATGGATGCTGTTATCTGTGTAACAAACACATTCTTAATTTATCGCCTGCAAGCTCTGTTACTTGTCATGGTAAAGGCCACAATGATTACATTGCAGCAATGTGGTATTTGAAATGTAACTACAAGGGACAGTCATGGGTTGGCACAACAATTTATTACTGGCTGTGAAATGCGCTTTGAAGCTCTGTTTATTTGGGAGACAACTAGAATAATATGGCCAAATTTTACTTTACTGTATGTTTTGTTTTCTAAGAGTTCAGTTTACTGAAATTAAAATGCAATTTTCACCTAAGATAGAAATCAAACAAAAACAGAAAATACTTTTTTTTTCAATGCAAACTCCCCTTTTAAACAACTGACTATTTTTGGGTGCTACTAATCTGCCACTTTGATTAGCTTTAGTATTTAGTGTTCCCAGTGCACACTGCTGGCTATCTTCTGCAATTATCTCTATTGAGTGCAGGTCATCAGTATAGGCACCATATAGCCTAGGACAATAAATCAATTGGCAGCAGGGGTGACAGAGACAGCATATGTTACCAGACCCACAGATACGGGGGTCCAGCTGAGCTTTGTCTAGGATTCATGCTTCTTTCTTCCAGCATTCAGCAATAATAGCCAAGAAGGATGTTTTGCTTCTATGCCTGCGTAGCAACCACTCATAAAGCTGGATTGTCCCTAGTCTAAATGTATTGTTTGCAGCTAGGCTGTTAGTAACCTCAGCTTTGTTTATGGGATATGGGTTTGATTTCTCCTAAGGCCAAAAACATTGTTTGGTTCTACCTGCTACAAAGACATTGGTTCTACCTGCTACTAAGGAGTGTTATCCAGTAGCAGGAGTAAGAAGATACAATGTATTGGGTTATGATTATTTTACTGAGGGATTTATACCAGTGATGTGGACTGGGGAAAAGAGAGAGTTTCTAGAAGGGTCCTTGCAACCCATGCTTTGCCTGTTGGGAATGTGTGTTTAGCAGGCTCTAGTCTGTGCCCCCTAGGCCTGGTGCTTGGAGGGAATGTCAGTGTAAGATGGGTCTTTGCCTGGGCCCTGAGTCTGGGCACGAGGAATCCAAGCTGGCCTGTGATAGGGCTGCAGAATTAGGAAGGTGGCTACCAGTAAGGTGCATCTTCATAGGAGTTTGCTAGCCAAAGAATGTGCAGGAAAGCCTAGGGGAAGCAGATGCTGGATGGACACTGCATTAAGACCTCATTATTCATCTCTTTAGAGCCCATTCACACTGGATCCATTGCATTATCAGACATTTTTATATCCAAATATATTTGTCCCTAGCATGCATGTCTGAATATGATAGGGACAGCAAATTGTAAGTTAGTTTTGTAATAGGGACTAAAACAAATTATTCAGGGTACATTGTTCTCTATAAAGATCTGTGGAAGAGGTCAGCTCTATATATTGGAATAAAATAAATACAAAGAGAGGAATTTATCAACACTGGAGCAGACAGAATCTGGAGCAGCTGTGTGTGGTAACCAATCAGCTTCTCTCTTCAGTTTGTTCTGTTAAAGCTTTTAAAGGAAAGAGAGACTGATTGGTTGCCAAGATCAACTGCTTCAGATTCTGTCTGCTCCAGTTTTGATTATGGCTTTTTGATGATTAGCTTATGCTATTAATATGTTAACTCTATAATTATCAATAAAAAATATGCTTCAGAACATAATCAATAGCAGCAAGCACGCAAACAATCAGGAAAAAATCTCACAGAGTTCAATTCAACCAATTTTTTTTAGTTTGGGACACAGTAAGGGCTAAAACCCATCTTTTTTGTTATTTCTACATATCCTAAATTTCCAGTGACAACTCAAAATGTAGGATTTTACTAAATTTTAGTCCCATTGACAGTAGTCAGAAAGCAAATCTTGAGACACATACAGCTAAAAAAAAATAAAAAAATCAATTTAAAAAAAAAATCATGTTATTGCTATGTTACCCTTGGACTTCCTGTAAAGTGCTATTATTATGTTATATTCTGTGTTCTTATGAAAATGTTACGTCTGTCTCCACAGTCTTTAGAAGACCAAGTATGGGATATTTTATGTCAAGCTGATGAGACAGCTGAACAGAATGAAGACCAAAGACAAATATATGATGCCATGGCAGCGACTTTAAAGGAAGCCTGGGATTCCCTGATCGTTGTGCTAGAGAAAAGAAGAGACTTGTTACATGTGACTTCTGAATTCTTCAATACTGCAGCACAGGTTCTTATTTTTATTCCAGCATTTAGCATGTACACATCAGCCAAGAGCACTCATCTCCCACTGATGTAGTTCTCAGTGCCACTCCTACATTATATACTTCCCATTAACATACAGCCAAGTTGGGTTTGCTTTATTTAGAGCAGTGGTTCTCAACTCGTGGGTCGCGACCCAAAAGTGGGTCGCGACACCCTCTGCAGTGGGTCGCGGCGTCATGTCTGCATAGGCCGGCCCATCTGCATTAGAGAGAACTAGAGGGGGAATTTGTGGTTCAGCCTGTGGAACCTCATAATGTCAAACTGACTTTCCATTGAAACATTTAAATAGTATTTCCAACCAAAACTGGTAACCCAAAACAAGAGGAACTTGTGCATTTCTGCATCAAAAGCACAGCTAAGCCCAGTAGATTTTGTTGGAGAATAATCAGGTAGAAATGGCCTAATACATGCAAGGAAACATTTGTCTATTCTGTAGCATGGCAAAGCAGTGCTAAACTGAGGCAGTGAGAAAAATTGTGATTCATGTGATTACAAGGTTACAGCAGAGTCATAACTTCCTTCATCATCTGCTCCAAAAAAAGCTCTGTGACAGAATAAAACCTGACCCTGATCACTTCTTAATTATGTGCCTGTTGCATCTTCAGTAATAAATCTGTCTCAGAACTTTGCACAGGTCTGTAAACCTGTTGCAAAGATGTTTTGTGGAAGCGACCAAGATGGAAAGGTATCACCTATCCTGCACCATTAAAGCAGACTTTCCAAGAAATGGAGTGTCAGCTCTACTGACAATCCCGCAAACAATTAAAAAAATGAAAAACTAAAATGTTTACAAAAAACTACTGAATGGTGCATCACTGTAGTGGCAGATAACACAGAAGTGTGGCACTGGTACAGTGGTGAAATAGCTTAGGTATGCATCGATGCAGTGGCAGCAAAGTATACGATTTCTATATTTTAGTGTGTAAAGGCTAATTTTTGCACTAATCTGTGACACAAAGCAGTTACATTGTTCACCTTGTTTTTAGTTTCCTGTTTTCCTCTGCCTTTTAGTTTGCTGATGCAGTTGATAATGCAGAGGCCTTCCTTCAGAACATACAAGAAACTTCCAACAGTATTCCAGAATGCCTGCAACAGCACCAACAGCATACAAGAGGTCTGGCATGCCTTTCGTGTTCATGTTCTTCTTATATACAGTAAACGCTATTGAGTTTAAAGGGAAACCTATGTTAAAGCACATATGGAGATGCCATTGGTCATCTCCACTTTTGAAAATGCAAGTTGCCTGTCTCTCATAATGATCCAGTAGATTTAGATCAGATACTCATAGTATTAAAGCCACAGGCTCAAGAGAAGACCGGGGCAACTAGCATTTTCCAAAGCCTCCATATTCATCTCAGTACCAATTTCTTTTAACAATATTTGGATTAAAAGTTGTTCCACATTGAATACAATATTTCCTACCAAGTTTAGTCTAAAGACTCTGGGTACATAGTTTGAACAAGATTGAACATCTTGTACATGAAAATCATATCCCCCCTTAATCTCCCTTATTCCAGCGTAAACATGTTTAAGGTCAGAAGCCTTGTCTCATAGCTCTGGTCCTCCTTTCCCCTAATTAGTTTTGTTGCCCTCCGCTGGACTCTCTCCAGTTCAAGGACATCCCTTCTCAGTACCGGCGACCAAAACTGGACCGCGTACTCCAGATGTGGCCGAACCAACGATCTACATAGAGGCACAATTATAGACTTGTCCCTGCAATACATCCCCTTCTTAATACAGGACAAGACCCTGTTAGCTTTGTTTACCGCAGCTTGGCACTGCAAGCTACGATTCAGTTTGTGGTCTACAATGACCCCCAAATCTTTTTCTATTCCTGACTTCCCTAGCGGCATACCCATGATTGTATAGCCCATTTGTTTATTTTTATGTCCAAAGTACATTACTTTGCATTTATCGACATTAAACCTCATCTGCCATAGTATTGCCCACTCCCCTATTTTATCCAGGTCCTCCTGCAATGTTATATTGTCACGATCCGTTTCTAGTTCCCTCCCTATTTTTGTATCGTCTGCAAACACGGAAACATGGCTATTTATTCCCTCCCCGATGTCATTAATGAATAGGTTGAACAGTATCAGTATTTATCCAGCACAGTAAAGCCGTAAAAATTACAAACCTTATTTTAGATTTCCACAAGAAAAAAGGATATTAAAAGAAGAATACAATGCACTCACAAGATTCTTTATCTATTTAGTCTAATTAAAAACTCATTAGTACTGTCCTCAATAACCAAGACCTCCTCTATAAACTCAGCCTTCCAATACACCCCCACAAACTAAACCATATTATGTATACAGATGTTGCTAGCCATATGTATTCCGGCCAAAAACAGCAATTTATACTGAACAGTAGGGTTGCACAGATACCAAGTACAGTACTCGGTACAAGTACGAGTACATGTACCGATACTTTTGAGCTCCAAGACTAGACTAGAGAAAAATTCAAACATTAGGAGGCAGCTGTCATTTGTAAGGGGCACACGGAGCTCCTGGGATTTGTACATCTCTGTTTTAATGTACGATTTTGTTCTTATAAATATAAATAAAGTGATGCTCAGATACCAGTTTTGCGAGTACAAGTACTGGTACTTGCCGAGTACTTACAAGTACGAGTACTGATACATTTTTGTTTATTGTCATGTGACAGTGTTTCTAAAACAATACAGACTAATGATTTCAGGACAGTGGTGGAGCACCAGAGCCAGGTCCCAGCTGCAACCTCTGTAACTGCTGCAACCCTGGTAGTTCTCATGAAAATGCCAAGTATCTGCACTGGTACTCGAACTGAACAGGGCAATAAAAGTAGAGAGTCCCATACACTGATGTTTCATTACGAAACATATACCCTCTTAAAAATCTCCAAATAGGGTGCAAGTGCCAATTATATTTCTTGCATAGTAATTTTAAAGAAAATTCCTCATAAATGTGTTCCATAAAGAGTCATAATAGAAACAAATTAGGAGGATAACTTTGAGTTCTCACTGCCCATGAAAATGTAATAAATTAGCCAGCACATAAATTACATCTTAAAAAAGTGCATGTATCAGCAAAAGATAGGTGGAGATCACAATGCAGAAATAGCTATGCACCATTTCTCAATGCCCTTCAAATATCCTTCTCAATTGGTGGAGATTCACAAAGAAAAAGGATAACTTATGTACCACGTCTCAAAGTCCTTCCAATATGGTGTACCATTTCCCTCCCTCAAGGCCCCTCCATATATCCAGCTATTATATAGGTGAACTAATGGCAATCATGTATTAACACCACTATTGCTTCTTTTATCTGAAAGACATTCAGTCCCACAATGCCATTCTCACATGTTGCTCTTTTCCCCTTTCCCCATACGTCCCCATATCAGATAAATGATCTTGATATCCTATAATTATGAGATTGAGTCCATGCACCACCGTAGCCTTACAAGTGTTGCACCATCTTTCTCCTCCACAGGCACCCACAATGCATAGATACCCCGTAGTGTGACATGCCATGCTCCCATGTGACATCTGTGGCTCTCAGTCAGCATTCTTACATCAACCCTATTTTAACCCCAGCAAATTCTGTACCAACATGTCCAAACTGTACAGCACTTACTGTGATGCCTGTATATAAAATGAATTATATATAAAGCATAGAACTCTAGGTGTGCTTACAGATATAGGTTAATGATGAGGTTGATGTATAATAATATTTATATTTTTTGATGCCATCACACCCCTTAGAGTTGTCATACAGGGCTTAATATTTCTAAGCAATGCAAACAATTCGAGCCTCTTTTGTTACAATTAAGCAGCTTAGGCAGAAACAACCACTTCTGACTCTTTGCTATTGTACATAAAGATTCCCTAACAAACTGGGCTTTAAGGGGATCAAGTAGAGTCTTCTTTTCTCCACATCTCCCTGCATGCCCTTACTGCTGAAATAAAAGCAGTAAACTCCTAAAGATTGTTTTGGCTTTACTCAGTCTAATTAGGAAGAAATACGGATATAGCTAAAAACTATGAGCAGAACATTTAAAAAAAATGAATTTATCTAAAGGAATTTGATAACATTTACATACATTTAAAACATAAACATAAAAACTATAGATTTTTTTATGTAAAAAATTTAAGGGCAGATGTTATCCTGGTGAAGTTCAGGTCGATGATATGTAAAGATGAGGAACACATTAAAATGACAAAGAAAGTAAATCCTTTTTCCAAAAGTTCACTTTTTTTTCTTTTTAGTTGTTTTAGAGCGATCCCTTGCTTTGCTGAATAAAAGCCAGGAAGTCACTGAATTCATCCAGCAGTTCTCATCTCAGCAGCCAGTTTCCAGCTCCGAGATGATAAAAGGGGCTCGCTGCAGCTCCTCCAGAATTGAGGACCTCCTGGAAGTGCTGCAAGACAGGAGGCGGCAGCTAGACAAGCAGATGAGGCAGAAAAGACAAAGGCTGGAGTATGGCTTGCAGGTCAGCCAGTGGCACCAACAAGAAGACAAGGTAAATGTAAAGAGGAAACACATGCACACAGCACCTGTTTCCATAGGCCAGAGTTGTGAAGCAAGTGTCAGGGCTCAGCATGTTGTTTTGTGGAAGAAAACTGTTTACCCATCTGTGGCTCTATGTACCTCCCTGCACAGTGGCACGTAAAATACCTTAAAATGGTTGCCATCTGTTATCAGTGTATACGCTTGGCCTTAATGGTATGAATAACTCACTATAATTGTTTAAATATATCTGGGTTTTCAAAAAAAATGATATTTGCAAAACATAGTTTTAAAATCTATTCTGCAAACATAGCCACTAAAATGCAACTCTCGGCAAAAGCAAAATTAGATATTGAACTGCTTAAGCTATACATTGTGATTAATTTGCCTTTAATCTAAAAATAAAATCCACTGAAAACAGGTTTGCCAAGTTATCGGTATTGTTTCTTAGAAAGTCGCTTGTCACCAGGTGACGAGAGAGCATGAAGCCGGCTTTCTGGCCAATCAGAAAGCCGGGGGGCGTGTAATGACTCGCCGCCCGACTTCTTGATTGGCCAGCTTCACAAGTGATGAGGGAGCCTGGAGCTGGCTTCCAGGCCAATCAGGAAGCTGGGTAGCGTGTAATGACTCGCTGCCCGGTTTCCTGATACTGGAAGCTCAAGTATCGGGCTAGGCATCAGAGCATTTGGGCAAGTACGAGTACTAGCCCAAATACTCGGCATCGGCACCGATACTGGTGCATCCCTAGTTTATACATACCTTTTTTTTCCAAGGTCACTTAGATCTGGTGAAATCATAGGGCTTCCTTTCCCTCTTCTTCTTTGGTAGTGAGCAGAAACTAAATGCTACAGAGAAGGGTGCCTTTCTCTCCTGCTTTCCTCTGTGAGCCCAGGGAGCCTAGTTCTCACCAGAAAAAGGAGGGAGGCCACACCACTGGATTGTTGAGTCTGTGAGGGACAGCACTGGAGATAAGTGGAGGGGTATAGCTGCCAGAACTGCTTTTTTGTTTTATGCCACTGCTGGGGTATCCACTTCTCCCCTAAATGCCCAAATTGGAACTGAGCTCTAATTTTCATCATAGACTAAAACATAGTACTCTGCTCAGTCCCATGCTGTATAGTTCTCTGACTGCTATCCTATTTCCATTCCTCAGCTCATGGATTTTACTGTGACTGGGAGCAGCAATAGTAATGCTCACCTGTAGAGTACCCTACTGGCAATCCAGCATTCCATTTCATATATATTTCCATTCCGCAAATTAATTATTTTGTAGCTAGATAAAATTAAGGGACTTTGCATTGGCGTGTCATTGTACTCCTCAGGTGACATGCCTATAAACACAGGATTTTGAGAGCATGCCATTTTCAACACATTCTGTAAGATAACTACCTGTATTGATCATTTGTTCTTTTGTACAGTTGTCTACTTGCATAGGATTAAAATGTGTAAAAATAATATAACAAAGAACAATATTGCCTCTCTCTAGTGCAGCTGTAAAGTATCCATACATATCAACTTAGGCTCGATTGAAATTCACAGAATCACTGATTCATCACTTTTTGATTGTATTGAATATTTGCATGTAGATTCAACTTATCTGCAGAAATTCACATAACTAAATTATCCAGGCAATAATTGCAACAATTCATTTGTGAATTATCATGTCTGACTATGTATATGGGACAGATCAGCATACATATATTCAGAAAGATTCACACATAATATGATTGATGATGATCTTATGTCTGTAACATACCTACGGACACTGCTTATTGGGGGTACATAGACTTATTAAGGCACAATAGGGCCATGGGCAAGGTAGCTGTTTGGCCCCCTACTTCCCTTCAATTGATAATAATACATACTGCAATAGTCACAGAGAACCCTTTGCACTGTCACTACTGGAATGGCCTGCCTCATCAGACACCGACTACCTTCAAGTGCATGTTCCCTTGTAAATTGACAGGCAGATGCACAGCTTTGATAAACTATGTTATGCTCTTGATTAACTGCAGGGGTGTGAAAGTTATAGCCTGCCCCTTGGACAACCAGTAAGTATGGTGTTCTGACAAATTGTAAAACTTTATATGATCGCTATTGTTGTCCTTCTGAAATTCTGGTGCCAGGAGGTTTCTGAATATAGGCTAAATACAAATGATGCCTGAGAGATCATACTTGTACACGTGACTTCCCTTAAGTGTCTACAGACCTTTTCTGTGCAAAATATGAGTTTCCTTTAACCATGGTGATAGCATTCCTATATGTCTCATGTCGGCTCTAACTATGAGGATGAGTGGAAATCACTCGCCTCATAGTTCTTAGTCATTCCAAAACCTTGATAATTTTTGCTATTTACTATCATGGATTATCATCAAGCAACTTCAGATGTCAGAGCAGACCACTGCCCATATCATCGCAAAGAATAAGCAAGCTGGACTGCGCTCTGTTGGTTTATAGACTACACATACCCTAAGTTACAAATCTGAATATCTATATTAACCTGAATTTAAAAGTATGAATAGCTGTATTCTGTGAAATGCTGGGTTCTGCACTGAATTGAAATTGAATAGAACGCCAGATAAAAAATTCTCCCTAGAAGTCCAGTGGTATCATCCAGGATCAGCTCCTTATTCCAGGACTAGGATGCTAGCAGAGAAATTAAACAAGCATTTATTTGTGCTCTTAGCTTTATAAAAATATGTTGTCTCAGTTGAAGCCCCCCTTGCTGCTGAACCACACCCTCATTTCTTCTGCTTTCTCTTACACTTTTACCTGCCACTGTAGTCACTGTTCAATCCCTCTTCTGGCTCTCACCCTGAGACCTGCCAATGTAAATGGCCATCACAAACTTACATAGATCTGCTCCCTGCTTCATCTACCCTGTGAACAACTGGTATATATGTCCATCCATTCACCCATAGCTTAGTTACTCTACTGCCTCTCACTCTGAGACTTGCAAATGTGAAATTTCATCAAAGTCTCTCATAGATCATCTTTCTTGCTACCTCCTACCTTATGACATAGAACGCCAGTACACAAAACACATAAGAAGGTGGACTTAGTAAATGCTTATTTGTGCCTCCATCAGACTATTCTCCCAGATTGCTCTTCAAATGTACCTTGCACGGCACAGTCACCTGAGTAGATATCAAGGGATAACTTATAGTGATAAAAGAAAGTTTTCTTTAAATGTTATTTATTGTGACATGATAGGAATTTGTGCAGGTTTGTAAAGTTACAGATATGTCTGCTTTAATATGGAATAAGCACAGCAGGTAACAGACGTAAGGACCGTTTTGGAGACTGCAAAATGCAGAATGAACAGCTGCTACACCGTCCAACAGCTTGAAGAAAGTGCCTACAGGGCATGCTGTGTGCAGGTTTAGCTGCCAAAGCAGAGACTAGATAAACTTCTCCTTTTATTTTTCTATTCAGGGTTTATAACAGATATAATATGCCAAAGGAAGTAACAAATATAGCCATCACATTAATAATGTTATCACCAGAGTTAGCATTTGAACTCATTAACATATTTCTCTTATAAAAAATATATAACTTCAGTATTATTGGAAATGATCACATTATGTCTTCTTCGTGAATAATAATTTGTTTTCCCTTTATAGTTAGATTTCCGCAGTCTGATTGTAAAAATGCAGAGCTACGGAATATAGGGTAGAGGAAGTACAAAAGGTCATCCAAACAGTTATTTACTTAATGGGGTGTATGTTAATTACTTTTAATAGTGACCTGTGCCAAATGAAGATTTGTTTAAAGTTTCAAAACCATTTAAAGGGAAACTAAAATAGTTTTGGATCAATTTTAATTTTAATATTCTTACTATATGCACATATGTCTTACAGTCTACTGTATGTTTTTAATATATGTATAAAATTATTGTTATATCATTAAACCATTAAAATATGAATAATGATTGATCTAATAATAATGTGAGGACTGTGGGTTATCTAAAGAGATTTTTTAAATGTTTTCTTTTTTTTAGTCCTGACCAGCATAAACAAAATAAGAAAATGTATACAGAGCCACAATACATACCCATTAAGGCAGTACTAAATCCTTAAGAAAATGTTGAGAGGTAGGGACTTAACGTGAGTCTTCTGCCAAAAACTCTTTTACATTTACCCTAGGAACTGATTTATCTTACTCTGGTACTTCCAATGAACACTGTCATCGTCAATGTCACCGAGTGTTAGTGAATCTAGAACTATAACTGTCAGGATCTGCCACACCACTGAAACAGGACACCATTTTAAAACTGTGCTATGGTGGACCATTTTAAAATGGCCATTGGACACTGGTTTATCCAAGCCAGGGAGTGCATTGGATTATTTTCCAGACAGTATAGTGATTTTTTACATTACATTAACTCTCCCCTTTCTGATTTAGGCCAAGCTATGACTGTTAGGAGGAAAGGCTATCCCCTGACGGTTATGTCTTCTTACATGAGGTCTTTGGAGCTTCCATCCACAGGTTCCTCAAAGCACATACAAGCGTTTTTGTTCTTTTTAAGTAAGACTTGGATTATGACTTGCATCTCAAACTTTTTAACTAAGACCAAGGGGATTTTTTTGTTTTGTAATCAAACATGTGGTTAAAAAACTTTAATAAGTATTTAGAAATAATAATAATACTTATAATTATAAAATAGTAATTTTATAATAACAAACAAAATTGACTTCTATGTTAGTTCCTACACATGCAAACTGTAACCAATGCCAACAGTTTGCAGCTTTGAAAATAATGTTTTTCTTCTATATAGAGCATGAGGACCTTGAAATTTCTAGCACAAAACATGGAGTAACTGACTGCATTATGTAAATTTGTCATCCCTGCGTATGGCAAAGATGCGGATGTTTCTTGCAAGATCACAGACACAAGCCTAGTTTACAGGGGCAGTTACAAACTATGGATATTTTATATGCAAAAAAAGTGTTGTTCAAATATGCACTTAATCATACGAGTATGGATAATTTACCCTGGCGATATCGAGCACTGGGGCACTAACAGCTAATAAACACATTTCTGCTTTTTGGATTTAGTTTTTTGAGACAAGTTTCCTAGAAGCTGTTACATCTAATGTGATCATAGAAATATATTTTATTTAAAGTGTATGTCTGGGCAAAATACAAATATCATATACAGTACAGCTCTGCAATACAAGCACATTTCCACATGTTTTATCACATTGAAAATTATACCTGTGCTGTGCTGAAATTCCAAGCAGTGTTATCAGCCATTCTAGTCCTCCCCTTGGGCTATAGGGGCTATAGAATACCTTACCTTTTTGTAGATAAGGAGGTGTTCTGTAGTCTAGCTAAAGGGAACCGGCAGGACACTGCTTGCTATTCCACTGCATTGGAGGCACTGTGCTGTCAGCTCAAACAAAAAGTTAGGAGCACACTGGATTAAAGTATAAACCTTTTTAGATTGATTTTTTTATGTGTTTCTTTTTATTTTAAGCTGTTTATAAATACACCCTAAAAGTCTGTAGGGAAACAATTCGCTGAGCCATTCAGCCCGCAAAATTGCGTTTCCACTTGTTCTGTGTGAATGGAGGCAAAAACAAATGTTATTAGTATACTTTATTTCCAGGTCAAATATAATCCCAGGAAAATACCGCATAATGTCCACTAGATGGAGATTAGGATCTTAGGAAATAATGTGGTACTTTCCTGATATTACGTTTGACCTGGAAATAAAATATACCAATAACGTTAGTTTTTGCCTCCATTTGTACAGAACAAATGTACATGCAATTTTACAGGATGAATAGCTCTGCCATTTGCAATTCTCTATACACACATCCGTTAGTCTCTTATTTAACCACTTGAAGGCCAAGGTGTTTAACCCCCTTCCTGTCCAGGCCATTTTTCAGTATTCAGTGCTAAGGGACTTTGACATTTATTCAGTCATGCAACACTGTATCGAAATTAATTTTATATAATGTTTTGGGGACAGATATAAGCTTTTTTTGGTGGTATTTAATCACCACTAGGTTTTTTATTTTTTACTATATTTAAAAAAAAAGTACTGACAATTTTGAAAAAAAAGAAACTGTTTTCCCTACATTATGTTATGAAACATTTATTACCCAATTATTTAAAATAAAATGTAAAAAAACTCTTCAGCAGCATCTCTGGCTACAGCAGCCGGAGAAATGTCAGGCTGAAAGCGAAAGTGATGTAATTCATATCACTTCCACAATCAGTGATCGTAGGGGGGATTAGCCGGCGGAAGTGTGCTAATCTGCCTCCGATCCAGCCATGCCAGTCTCAGGCCTGCACGGAGGACATCAGAGCCCGGGACAACACACTTCTCCACACCATACAAGCGATCGCCCATCTATAGAGCCGCCCGAATGCTTATGTGTAACCAGCTTACTTGTATGTAACAAACACTTGTATGCATTAAACTTTCCTGCTCTTGCATGAGACACTCCTCAGACCCATTCAGTTGAGTGTGTACATCTCGGATCTCAGGGGGCAATTTTGGAGCAACAGGTACTTTTATAAAAAAGCATTTAAGGTGGAGCTTTGGGCAAACCACAAAATACACAGTCATTCACACACATCTACTACCTTGTACGACCTGGCAAGTGATACACATATTTCCAAATTCAGCAACCAAAATGTCTGTGCTACCTCTCCTCATGCAGTTTGATCAGCGCACAATAAATCAGCATCATCACACTAAACTATTAGAAGTAAAATATTCCTGGAAATAAGTAATTACCTTCACTATAGTATCACAATAATGACTAGCCAAACCTTAGAGAGGTAAAACAGTAAACATATAGGGGTGGATTACCAAAGGCAAATAGGCTGTTCACTTTGCAAGGAATTTTTACTTTGCAAGGGAATTTTCCCTTAATCAGTGAATATGGTGAAAATTCACTTTCCAAAGAATACTTTGCAAAAAAAACATTCATTTTTTTCCTTGAGCATGATTGCAGACAGCGGGGCTTCACCTCATTCACAAAGCTAAGGGAAAACTTCCTTGCAAAGTGAATAGCCTATTTGCCTTTAGTAAATAAAAGTTTTGATCTAGGGACTAAAATAAAGAATTTATACTCTGATCCTCGGTCCTGCTTGGCTGCTAGACCAGTCCGCAGCCTCTTTTTCCCCAGGCTAACAGTCTAAGGATCTGTGACATTATCACATCTAATGCAGCTGCTTTGGTGTTGATATTTTTGTTCTATTCCATTTAAATTCTATCCCAGGCAGCTCCCGACCTACCAGGAACAGCAATCAATACAAAGTTAAAACAGCTCCTGGGTGTACCTAACCCATTATAACCATGGATCATTTTCCTTTATATTAGTTTTTGTTTAGTTTTGTGTTTTATATATGTTTAATAATTGTATAATTAGGACACTAGCTACTTGCAAAAAACTGATGGCATTTTTTATTTTTTCTGTAGGTTATGTGTTGGTTAAGAAAGCATATAGATTTATATTTGGCAAACCTCCAGCTAGGGGCATCTCTGACAGAGAATGAGGAACTGCTTCACAAACACAAACAACTTGTTCATAATTCCACGGTAAGAAAACAACGCCACTTTTTTTCATTTATACACGCACACGGTCATACCTAGCTTGCACCAGTTCATCAAGCAGTGTTTACTTGGTTCTAAAATGATTGTTTGCAGATATACCAAATACATAATGTGAGAATTAGATTCACATTGGAACGTTTAGCTATGCAGTTCATTTATCAACCTGAACTGTTGTGGAATCAACTGACAATTTAAGATGAGCTGCTTGACATTTCATGTCTCAGGTTTAAAGTTTGCCCCACTGGTGACAGCTGATTAGCTGACAAGAGAACCAGGGAGAGTGCACAGCAGTGTCATAGTCCATATACAGGCCAAAGGCCCTGGCAGACTGTAGACAGGTGTAGTTGAGGCAGAGCCTGAAAATCAATGCTGGAATCCAGAAGGAGGAGAACCAGGAGACCAGCAGAATCAAAACCAGGATAAATGGTCATGATGCAGAATGGCTGTAAACACAAGGCAGGGTCCAGGTGTCTAAGTGGGAACACCCGTGAACTGAGCAAAATATGAATATAGCGCCTGATGACATCACAGGGGTTTTGAAGTTATATTTTCTCAGCTTCCAACAGTTGGTGCATAAAAGCAGAAAGAAACAGTGCAGGAGCACAGGAAGAAGTGTTAAACATAAACAGCCATCAGTGACTACATACCACATAGATTCTCTTGGCGGTGCCGGCACTCAGTGTGAGTCAAAGCACAGCATGTGCTCTGACAGCCCTCACTGAGCGATGGCTGAAAGAAAGGATTAGTAAGGTCTGAACCAGGCCAAGGCGCAGACCGTACTAATCCCCTACTGGCTCACCAGGGAATGTACTCCCTCCCTGCAAATAATTAAAGCAGGTTAAGTGGGCTCCTTTTATTTTAGTAAGGTGTGAGTGTGTGTGTATATGTGTATTTCTGTGTGTGTGATTGGTTGTGTGTAATATTGTGTATTATTGTGTGTGTGTGTGTGTATTTCTGTGTGTGTGTTTCTGTATGTGTGTGGGTGTGTGTGTGTGTATTTCTGTGCGTGTGTATATTTCTGTATGTGTGTTTGGGTGTGTGTGTATTATTGTGTATTTCTGGGTGTGTGTTTGGGGTGTGTGTACAGGTATATTATTGTGTATTAGTGTGTGTATTTCTGTGTGTCTATTTCTATTTGTGTGTGTATTATTGTGTATTCATGTGTGTGTATTTCTCTGTGTGTGTATTATTGTATGTATATAAGTGTGTGTGTATTTCTGTGTGTGTGTGTGGGGGGGGGGGGGGGGGGGGGACTGTGTGTGTGTGTGTATTTCTGTGTGTGAGTGAATGTGTGAACCTGTTGGTCCTCTGTGATTAAAATTAAAACCTGTGGAGTTTTCTAAAAAAACACACATCTATTGACACTGCACACATATACACATGTATACATACTGATGAAGCACACAGAAACATTATTGACACACATACCGACATCACTCACAGAAATCCTGAAAATACACACACACACAAATCAAAAACATACAGTATAATGACATTGCATACATAGAAACCATAACAAATATGTATACTGACATAACAAACATGTAACATTATAAACACACGCAGACATGAACACTGGTACCGTATATACAGTAGTTATATTTTGTTTTCAAGTATGAAATGTTATGACATTTGGCAATTGGAAGAAGAAAATTCGTCCAGTGGTCCCCAAGTGATTTGAGTTTTACACCCCTGTTCTACGTGGATCATTATATTCAAATTACACATCCGGTAAGGATCCTTTCACAGGGCTGATCAGGAGAGGATCCGTCAACATCATCGTGATCACAGCAGTATGGAGCAGATGTTACCGTTGTGACATCCGTGTCTGTACAGTTTTTTCCTCCATCTTGCAATGGAAGAAAAAACTGCAATTGCCGGACCCCATGTTGGTCTTTGGGGAATCAGATGTAAAGCCAACTGTTTAGTCCTGTCAGAATCAGCATGTTTACAGTGTATAATCAAAACATTTCTCTTTGTAGCAACTGGTAGAGTTGATTATCCCTTCTTCATAAGACAATACGCAATCACTGTAGTGTATTAAGTGTATGGAGGCGTAAGTCTCTAGGCTGACTTTCAGAATTAATAAACAGTTAAATCTATAAAGAATAAACCAAGGCAACTGGAATCGCTATATTTTTCTTGAAGATATTTCACTGGTCATCCGACTAGCTTTTTCAATTCAGAGTGACTGTACAAAAATGATCTGGGAATACATACAGTATAGTGGATGTTGCTCCAATCAACATAATCTGTTTATCATAACCAGCATGGGGTCAGAGACCTCATGGAGGTAAGAGGTGTTGATTGCATTTGCATGATTGGTGCTAGCAGGTGTTATTAGGTTGCCCAGCTGGAAAGAGTAGGAAATGGTTAATCAGTTTTTTTGTTGTTGTTGTATTCTTTGGGAGAGTTCACTTCATGTCTTGGAAAAGCAACACGTGAGAGCAAATCTCTACAAAGTAATGGGAATTCCCTTCTTAAGGTGCCCATACACGGCACGATTCTCGTATGAGAATCGGGGGAAATCCCGCGATCGTACGAGAATCGTGCAGTATGAATGAAGATGTGCGACCGTTTCTACTGTAAGGTCGCACGTCTTTTGTCTAAGGAGCATGCTAGAAAACCAGCCGAAAATCTTGCGATTTTCGGCTGGTTTGAATGATGCTCGGGAGACAAATGCCGAACGGGCTGGTGTGCGTACGCCCGTTCAGCATTGCGGTCATCAGAAGCCTGCCCCTCAGATGGGCAGATGGTGCGTTTTTTAAATTACTTTACAACCATCGCAAGACTAAAGTCTTGCGATGGTTGTAAAGTGTATGGACACCTTTAGACAGCTGTCTTTGGAACAGGTGTCCCCATTGAAAGATTGACCCACAACTATTGTTTAGGGTGGAAACAACAACATTTTGGATTTTCCTTCACTTTCTGTCACCAGAACAAAAAGTCACAATAGTCACCAGGACAAAAAGAGAGGTGAATCAGGACACAAATGGCAGTAAAACTTGACCTGAGTACTAATCCTTCCCTACTCTATCAGAAACTAAAAAACGTTTTGTCTGTACATTAGACATGTGCATTCGGATTCAGACAAACCTGCAAATCAACTAAATTCAGTTGATTTGGCGGTTCCTCAGAATAAACTGCAGAATGAGCGGCAGGCACATCGGCCACCGGAGCGTTCTGCACATGCGCGCCGCCATTTTGGAGTATAAATTGGTTTACACCAAGATGGCGACACCCGAACATGCGGGCGCCGACATCTTGGTGTATACCAAGATGCACTCCAAAATGGCGACGCGCATGCGCAGAACGTGCCGGCCGCCAATATGACCGCCACTCGTTCTGCAGTTTATTGTGCGGTTTCGGATTCAGAGGCTCGTTGCCTCCGAATCCGAAATATCATTAAAATTAGTTTCCTTTGACGAAATGAATTTTGTCAATTTCCGAAACAATTTTTTTTGCCATGCACATGTCTATTGTACATACACTTTAAGGTTGGATTTGCTGTTAGCGACGGGTAAAACAGCAACAAACTGCGGTGACGGGTAAAACAAATTATAATACACAGAGGAAAAATATAACCCTATAGAACAGCAGAGTCTGTATAGCTGTATGTAATATAAAGTCACATTACCAAAAAAGTAATTATTATTATAATAATATGTGGCGGCCTCCCACTCAAAGAAAAATGTAACAAACTAAATTTATATATCACACTAACTTACTCATACGTGTGTTGAAATCAAGTAAATGCGGGTAGTTTATTTTCTTTACTGACTTAATATACTATCAGATTTAAATATTTATATCCATTTTTAAAAATAGCATATTTGGATTAACATAATATTACCTTATCATTTTATGCTTCAATATTCCCACATGACACATTTAGCAGTTAAAAAAAATCTAAATATGACATCAATGAAATAGAGAATGTAGTAGCAATGCAATGGAAGATTGCTAAGGGCAAAATATATTTGATTGATGCCTGCTTAGTTTTTTTTTTTTATTTGTAATTCAGGCCAAGATTGTGTGTCTGTGCTGCCATCTACTGGCTACATTACACAGGAGCAGGCTTAAGGCGATCATAGTGATTGTAGCCATAGTCAACTGCGTTGTTACAGAAACAGGCTAAAAGTTTACTATTGCAGGTAATAATCAGACATGCTGAGCTTTCTGAGATGAGAGAGGAGCACTGCTTTAGACAAAAGTATGTAGGCAAAGAACACATTCCGCCAGGCCCCCAGTTATTTAAAACAGATACAATGAATACACAAAAAATGACACACAAAAAACCTCAAAAGAACCTTTTCTGCCACTACTGCTCCTTTATACTAGTTTTCTAAAAAACTAATTCAATCAGTTATAGGTTGGACGAAAGGTTTAATGTAGCGGAGCAAATTTTGCAACTTAAAATGCATTTGAAGAAGCTTTGGGGCATGTAAAACCCTTACTGTTATGCTTTGGCACCTCCTACATTGTTTTATTCTTTCACATCGTGTATTGTATCCTTTGAAACTTCAATAAATACTACATGCTAAAAAAAATAAATAATGCATTTGTCATTAACTGTTCTCTAGCTTGTAAAGGCTACGCTTCCTTATATAAATGTACAGCAGAATACTTCAGGAAATATTATACCTGAAATCCTTACTAAAATGTTCAATACCAAGGTTATATAATCTTTTATTGAATTACTAAGGTATGGCCCGCAGTAGACATAATGTGGTCCCTTGAAAACATATTCTACTCCGTTTGACTTGCTGTTTCATATATAAGTATGTCTGTCTTATCATTCTTCTTATAAGGTTAACATTCATGAGCTACATACTAATACTGTGACAGTGACACTAAACCTATACACTGAGTCACTACTCTGAAACTACTATGCAACACAGAAGACAAGGTGAGGCTGCTTTCATCAGAGCCTAATCACACAGGCACTTTACTAAACAGCTCTGCCACAGAAATTCACAGAAATA